ATGTCGTTTTTTTCGGGCTAAAAACGCCTTACTATACATGGTCGTTTTTTTCGGGCTAAAAATGCCTTACTATACTATCGTTTTTTTCGGCTAAAAATGCCTTACTATAGTATGTCTTTTTTTTTCGGCTAAAAACGCTTTCCTATACTATGTGTTTTTTTTTCAGGCTAAAAACGCCTGACTATACTTCGTTTTTTTCGTCAAAAAACACATTAGTATACATGGTCGTTTTTTTCGGTGAAAAACGCCTTACTATACATGGTCGTTTTTTTTCGGCTAAAAACGCCTTACTATACATGGTCGTTTTTTTTCGCTAAAAATTTCGGCTAAAAGCGCCTTACTAAATATGGTCGTTTTTTTCGGCAAAAAACGCCTTACTATACATGGTCCTTTTTTTCGGCTAAAAATTTCAGCAAAAAACGCCTTACGATACATGGTCGTTTTTTTCAGCAAAAAACGCCTAACTATACATGGTCCTTTTTTTCAGCAAAAAACGCCTTACTATACATGGTTGTTTTTTTCGGCTCAAGATTTTGGCTAAAAACGCCTTACTATGCATGGTTGTTTTTTTCGGCTAAAAATTTCAGCAAAAAACGCCTTACGATACATGGTCGTTTTTTTCGGTGAAAAACGCCTTACTATACATGGTCGTTTTTTTTCGATTAAAAAAAAGGTATTTTTAGACGAAAAAAATCTTCACTCAACGATAGGTCATCGCATTAAAATATCAAGTGTGTATCATAACAGAAATCCAAACTGACAAACAAGAAAATATTGTAGCTAGTCGAAGTGGAGCTGTCGGTCATTTTAGTGTTGAAAACGAGAAGCACATCAGAGCGATGGCAAAGTCTTGCTTGCCTCGTATTTTCAGTGCAGTGTGAAATGACATAACAGGGCGCGCGGTGGCCGCGAGAAATACAAGAGACGAGTGGATGCGCCATATCTCTCACAAGCTCATTAGCGCTTCAGCCACTCGGGCCCTCAGCTGTTACTGATGATGTGTGCATCATATTTTCCAGCCGAATATGATTTGCGCTTGTGCGGAGTCCAGAGTGACCTCGCATCCGCGTCCACTGTCGTAGCCCCTCACACCTCCACCTCCCACCCCAGATTCTGCAGGGCATAAAACTGTATAAACGACGGCAGAAAGCCTCATTTGGCACTCCACAGCTTTGTGTATTTTGTCTGCTTGTCAATGCGTTCTCCTGGATCTGTCGTTTCCCCGCCGTTTACCTTTGTCCCACTTCCTCACCTCTCCCTTCAGACTTACACTTGGCAGCGGAGCTCGGCAAAACCCTGTTGGAGCGGAACAAGGAGCTGGAGGATTCCCTTCAGCAGATGTACATCAACAATGAAGAGCAAGTGCACGAGATCGAGGTCCGCGAGTTGCTAGCTTGCCACGAAGCACTGACTGGCTAGCTAATCGACGCGTAACTTAGCGTCGGCTGTGCATTTGCCTACCTGAAACCTCTGATTTGTGACGGGCTTGTGCAACACACGAAGTTAGGCATACCATCATTTTAGCTCATGTTCACTTCAACCACAATCCAAAATCCATGTCTGGTTTGTGTGTTACATTTTTCATGATTACTTTCGTCAGATTCAAATTGTTTCGGTGGGTTTGTCTCTCCCACAATGTTGTCCACGTGCGCATTTTTTTATTTTTTTTTTGCGCAGCATCTGTCCAAGCAGCTCGACATGCTCCGAGAGATGAATGAGCAGCACGCCAAAGTTTATGAGCAGCTGGACGTGACGGCCAGAGAGTTAGAGATCACCAATGAGAAGCTGGTGCTGGAGAGCAAGGCCTCGCAGCAGAAAATAGACAGGTGAGCACCTTCCACCGCCGCGGCCTTTGGAAAATCTCACGTCGTTAATTTGCACCGTGTCTTACCGATAAGCCACCCGAACCTCCCTGAGAAATCTTGTGTACAAGGCGACGAATCAAGCTTGGAAATAGTTCAGAGGGAGCCTTTGTCCTTTCTAATTCTTCTACTCGAGTGGGTAACAATAAATCCTTGTAAAGCTGCGAGCACGGTATGCTGAGAAGTAAATTCTGCCGGATTGATGACATAACGAGCTCTCTTTCTTCCGCGCACGTGCTTGTTTACGTGCAGGTTGACGGGCACCATGGAGACCTTGCAGGGTCAGGTGGACAGTCTGACGGGTCGGGTGGAGGAGCTGCGCACTTTGGAAGAGCTGAGGGTCGTCCGGCAGAAGAAGGAGCGCCGCAAGACGGTCCACTCGTTTCCTTGCCTCAAAGAACTCTGCACTTCACCAAGGTTGCGTTCACCATGCGCGCTGCGTATTTTGTGAGATTTTCATTCAGAAATCCATCCGTCGGTGCGAATACTTGCTCTACCTGCACAATCTATTGAGACTCAACATAAGAACCTTTTCAAAAATAGCCACTGATTGATTGTTTTTCCTCGGGTATGGTGGTTTCTTGACTATCACATTGAACACACAAAATAGGCCCAGAGACTGCAGTTTTGTTTTTTTTTTCACAGTTAGCAAAACAAATGAGAGAGAGGAGCTATGGAAGACAAAATATTCTCCATGTTTTTTTTTCCTGAACTTGTCCTCTCGCAATATACTTAAACAATTCCGCCCAAAAATGTACATTAAAAAAATGAACTGACAGCCGTTGCTCTCTGTTGGCATACAAAGCAGGATTAAAGAGGATTTCACATTCACAATGCTCTGCGAAAACAAGGTTTGAAATACTGCCTGTTTTCAATCGTCTTCTCATTTTTTTTCCTTCACTACATTGACAGAGTACAAATAGGAGTAAATATTACTCACACCCCATCTGTGAAAATTCCATGTGTCTGGGTATTGCTCTCCTGTCAATACTTTTTTTTTTTTTTTTTTTTGGAAGTTACGAGGACGGTTTCCTGTTGGCCAACCCCGGCAGCGTGGACCTCGCCGAGAGGCAGCCGGCCGAGGAGGAGAACGAGCGCCTGAGGGACATCGTGACGTCCCTGCGTTCAGCCATGGCCGCCGAGCGCTCCAAGAGGGAAGGCGCCGAGCGGGAGTGCGCCGCCGTGCTGCACGAGTTCGACCGCCTGGAGCAACGTCTGCTCGGAGCCGAGGGCTGCCAGCTGCGAGTACGCGAACTCGAGGCGGAGCTCCAAGAGATGCAGCAGCTGAGGAAATCCAGGGCGTGTCTGATGGAGGACGGCATCGAGACGTTGCTCGGCAACGGCCCCGAGACGGACACGCCGGATGAAACGACCGTCGTGGACGCGGGAGGCGAAGTCGGCACCGGCGAGCCGGGGGGCCCCGTCAGGAAAAGCTGCAGCGACACGGCCCTGAACGTCGTGACGGTGCGCGATCCCCCGGGTAGGCGCCAGGCGGGGCGCAAACGAGGCATGTCCATCCTGAGCGAGGTGGACGAGCAGTACCACGCCCTGCTCGAGAAGTACGAAGAGCTCCTGGGAAAGTGCCGGCGCGCCGAGGAGAGCCTTTGCCACGCCGAGGTCCAAACGTCACGCCCCGTCTCCAGGGACCCCTCTTTGAAGGAGTACAGCGTGGCCACCTCGGCCGCGGGCTCCTCGCCCACTCGACCCCGCGCCCCGTCCACGCCGGAGGCCTTGGAGGGCATCAGCAGGCAGGTGGAGCAAGTTGACAAACGATTGAGTCAGAACACGCCCGAGTACAAAGCGCTCTTCAAGGAGATCTTCTCCCGCCTGCAGAAGACCAAGAGCGACGTGAGCGCCACCAAGGGCAGAAAAAGCGGCAAGTGACTTGAATAGGTGAATTTATTTTCGTGAGTTGGTCTGGCTTCTCCCCGAAATGTTTCGTAACACTAACCGCCAGAGTGTACTGCCTTCGTCTCCCTCGCACGCGTTGCAAGGTGAACAACTGTTGTTCAATTTATAACATGCTGTCAATTTTCTGGTCATTAAAAAGAAAAGCATTGACCATGTTTTTGTTTTCTGTCATGGGGAGAAAAAAAAAAGGGGGGACGCGTTTGAATTCCAACACTTTAATGTCATCTGAGGAGCTCCGTAGACTGCGCGGCCTCGAGCAAACACTGATGCAGACAGACCCCGGCCAAAGACCAGAAAGCTCTGAAAGAAGCCCTGATCACAGTAAGAAAAATACAACAACTGCGTACGGGACTGCTCAGTGCCACGGATGCTTGACGGTAGACACAAATGTTGTGCTTATGACACCACTGGGGAGCGTGTCTACCGTTTGCAAACTGGAGGCACAGTCATGGATGCTCACAATCAACGAGAGGAGCAGGAAGCGTGTTGGCCTCCTGCAGACAAGCATGAATGAGAAAACAAGCAAGCTAAAGTGTAAAAAAAACCCAAAAAAGATTCTAATTATATCGCTGTGGAGTTCAAGCCTGAAGGCAAATAGCTCTGCTCGGTTTGATCTCCTTGTCCTGAGGGTTCATGTTAAAAGGCCACTGGCAACTCACAATTTGCGGGGGGGTGGCATCATAAGCAGGACAAGATGTCTTGTCGCTGGATACTTTTGACCTAAATTCGAAATAATTTGTCAGGATAACAAATCTGCCCAAAAGGCTTTTTAGTAGGGTGGCGTGCAGCAATGATGCAAAGTACAGTAGCCCCACACACTCAATTGATACATACAGTACAGCAATGTTGTGGTTTCCCAAGGCAGGCACGGTGATCATAAAAAAAAAAAAAAAAAAGAAATAACAGGATGAAGAGCAAAATAAGAAAATCATACCAAAAAAATAAAATAAAAATGACAACACCGATTCCTAAAGAAAACATCACAACGTATTGTGCATGTCTTGACCTCCATTTCCATATTTCGATATTTCACGGAAAGCCGAATTCAAGCGGGAAGCAAGCGCCAGGGTGTCGACGGACGGACGGAGAGGCCAAGAATCGGAAAGAATGGAATGACAGCAAGAGAGGAAAGAAAGCGGAGGATGATGACGTGGCAGGTGGCCGAGGTTGGGGGGAGTCAGTCTTTCCAGTCCTTCTTGATGGTGAGGCCCCAGTCCCAGGACAGATGGTCATGTTTGTCGTCGTCGGTGAACCTGGACTTGACGACGTACGTGCCGCGGGCCAGCACGCCTTTGGGCGCCTCCTCCAAGGAGGTGAGGAACTCGTACTCCTGGTCGGGTCTGGGCCCGTAGCTGCCCACCATGTATTCCGTCTTGTCAACTGCACACCAAGAGAGGTCAACACATTTGGACCTCACGACGAGATCGTTTGTCCAATTACGGGGGGGTGGGGGGGGGGGGAGGCTTACCCTTTACTCCTCTCCTGAATGACTGCTGAATGTACTTCAAACCCGACACGATCTCCTTGTTAACCTGCAATGACGTCACACCTCAGAACGGCGAACATACGACGGGACAGCCGGGCGTCTGAGGGCGCCGCGCTCTCACCTTGAAATTGACCTTGATTTTGTACTCCACGCCCTCTTTCAACACATAAGGATTCTTCTTGAAGTTCTCCAGATCTCCTGGCAGACAAAAGAGAAGGGAAACTTGCAGTTTTTTTGGGGGTTTTTTTTTGCCGAATAATTTACCTCTTCTCTGCACCGTGTGGTGAAGGAACTATGTTGAAATGAGGGGAGGAACTTCATTTAGTCAGGCCTGAGCCTTGTCCAATAGGAAAAAAAAAAAAATTCTCAGACGCCCTCTAGTGGTTGGTCCACATGCACACACTCACCCTGCAGGTCCAGCACCAAAGAGCTTGGCGCCGCGTCGCATACCAGAGTCATTCGCGTCACCTGGATGTTTGGCGTGTTGGGATCTAAGACAAGACGACCAGGCACAAATTTAGTGTTAGAAAAAAAAAAAATCGAATTGAATGCCATCTTCCACAATATTCCAATTTATTGCTCCGATTTGTTTGTGCTGCCAGCTCAACTGCAACAAAAATAGTTCTCGCCACCGCTGGTAAAGCGGATACTTTGAACCACTGTGCTGACAAATTCCACTTTTGCCAGCGCAGTTTCATTTCAAAAGTTGAAATCGCACAATGCGGGGGTTTCGGACGGGTCGGTTGCGTGCGCGGGCAGAGATTTCTCACCTGCACTCACAGAGGTGCAGCCCAGTAAGGTTTCCTTGTACTTGCGCAGACTCTCGTCGTCCTTGTCCAGATCCTTGATCTCCTGTAAGCTCTTCGGCGCCGGAGGTTTGTAGTTGACCGCGGCATCCGTCTCCTCGTTGGCCGCCGCGAGCGCGGCCAGCTGTTCGGCTGTGGGTTCCGACTCGGCCATGGTGTGCTGCCCGGGGAATGAGTGGCAGGAAAAGGCAGCAGGTTAGGGCGGGTCGACAAAAGAATGATGTGATAAATAAAGACCGACCGCGGGGGGATTGCGGCCAAGCATTTCCTTTCATTTTTGCTATTTACTTTTAGAAGGTTTGAACACCACAAGGTGTGTTACAGAGACAACTGGAACACCGGTTCTCAAAACTAGTGTCCCCTATATGGCCAATGGGGAACTGGGGGCCGCACTTGATTAAATTTCTGGGGGGGAACAAACAAACAGTAGTACGTTTGCTTATGGCCATTCATAGAGAGGAAGAAATGGCAAAAGAGGCACAGAGTGAGATGTGGAAACATTTTGCTTCAACTGATACGGAATAAGCCATTTTCCAGGACCCAGCTTTACCCCCCCAACCCCCCATCTCTCAAGGTGCTTCATAAATCACCGTACGTGAGCTGACATACGGCTCAAATTCAAACAAAAACGTCATCTCAGCCAAAACTACACACATTTTTTTTTTACACTGAGGTGACAGTCGTAAATTCCACCACAGCAAACGGAAAGTCTGCAGAGACTCTTGCTCAACGTCTGCCATGCACAGTCGGGTATTGGCCAAGTAGGACCTGCGTGTCCTAGCGGGGGCCCCTCTGCGCTTCCATTTTACAAAATAAATAGCTTTTTTTTTTTTTTTTCTGAAAGAAAAAGCCCTCCTTTTCTGCCAACAGAGAGTGTGCAGTGGCTGCTTGACTGTTTGTTGTTGAAGTAAAGCGAGACAAAAGAGACAGGAAAATCAGGCCGGAAAACACCGTGCCGCCGCCGTATTATACAGTAAGGAGCAACCGGCGGGTGTTTTTTTCTCACTTCCTCTGCTCGGGTGCGAGACTACAGTGACAATTACATCAATGTGCTACAAATCAGACAATAGCTACATCCCACAGGATTCTGGGGGGTTTTGTTTGTTGCCCCTTTTTCTCCCCCAAGCTTGAAAAGTGACGGTACCAGTGGCTAGCTCCGTGAATAAAAAGCTGAAAAATAAGACGGAATTTTCAAATAGCAACTCACAAAACGCGGTCCGAATAAAACTGCGCCGATGGACGGTCAACTGTGAAGCCAACACATTTCCCTAAGTGACGTTTAGGAATGATGGCTGCTTCAAATCTTTTCTGCCTCCCTGCTGTAGCCGCTTTTGAGAGTATTTATCATACGACTCCAATTTCAAATCACTTCTCGGGGAAATTGGTTCGGCAGCGCCTAGAATAATATTTCAACGGATTTCGCGGAGCCCTTTCACCCCTTTCATTGAAATAGACAAAAGTGTGCTTGTGGCTGCTTGCTTCAAGGTGCCAAGTCCACTTCTTATCTTGGCCCTGGGAAGAGAAGATTAAAAAGCAAGATAATAACATAGTGAGGCATGTATGCTCTTTGGAAAAAAACAAAAAGGATCGTTTTCTCTGAAGTGGGTCAATCTTGGCACACTTTCCTGTTTAGCGCGAAGTCAATTTCCCAAATCATTGGTTGACCGGAAGAGAAAAACACCATTGCATTAAATTAACCTTGCGGTCTGATATGACCGTATTTCCCGCACAATAAGGCGCACCTAAAAGTATTCCGTTTTCTCAAAAGCTGACAATGCGCCTTATAATCCGATGCGCCTTATATATGGATCAATATTGTGATTTCTTGGACGTCGTATTTTAAATGTTCCGTAAAGCGCTTTGTTACAGCTGCAGCGGTTGTGAAAGCGCGAGATAAAGAAAGCCGCATTGTATTGTATTCCCTTTAGCGTCGCTCCATCTAGTGGATGCATCATGCAACCACAGCCAATATTACAGCTTCGATTCATTCTATGCGCCTCATAATGCGGTGCACCTCATATATGAAAACCATTTTAAAATAGGCCGTTCATTGAAGGCAGGCCTTATACTCCGAAGCGCCTCATAGTGTGAAAAATACGGTACTCCTAAATAAGAAGCGAACAAATTAAGGGCCGTGTGGAAGTCAAACAGATGAGCTCCATTAATATCATCACGGCAGCCATTGTGATTCTTCCAGGTTGACTCGATGGGCAGACAACACGACAACGACCATGATAACCTGACACCTCGAGAGGTTTAATTTGCAACACCAGCGTGGCGAGTGAGATTACAGCAAATGAGATTACGCCCGGCGACGCTTTGCGCGACGTGACTGGGAAATCGCTGGCTAAAGAGGATTCTCTTGATGGCAATTATTAGTGTCAGAGATAACTGATCTGTCCCTCATTTGTCGAGCGACCCCGTAAGGATTTTTGGGGGGAGGTTGTCTTCTCATTGTAAATTCTTCCAAAATGAACCCCGTGTGCTCCCACATGCAGGAATTGGCAAAGGGGAAGCAAAACACACGGCCCCCTCTGACCAATCAGTTGATACAACAAGAAATTCGAGTTTCAAAGTCTGACATCCAGTCCCGCAGAACGGCGTTCTCTCCTTGAACGAGTAAAGTTCTGATGTTCTAGTATGCTTTTGCTGACGTTTTTTTCTGCTTTCTAGCAGAAGCTTAGAGGTTGTACACAAACACTCATTGGCATTTGGAACCGTCGAGAATTCCCTCCCACTTGCCTCAGGCCCCAGTTGCAGCTGAAGGAAAGACGCCTACACGTTTCAATGTTGCCATGTTGTTCTTTTTGGGTGAATTATCAGCGCTGCGCCTGTGCCAAACATACCTTTTGGGATGACCGCAAAAACGTTCAGCTCAGACCACTACACATTTCCCCAAAAGTACTGAGCAGCCTGTACACGCCATAAATTCCCGCAGCTTCTTCCACGTTGCCGTCGGCCTCTCGATAGCCTCCCTGACTAGTTTTTATTTGTGTCACTCCCGTTTTGAAATGACGTCCAGTTCTTGGTAATGTCTCTGACTGAAAGGCTAGGCTTGATTGCTTCCGCTCACGTGCTTTGATTGATTGGCGTTTTGGTGCATTTCATTTGACAGGTTGGACAACTTGTGCAAAGTTTCGGAACACCTCTAATAAAAGAAAGAGGAAAAAAAACGAGGAGCAGATGTGTGCAATTATGGACAGCCGGGCATTATCTACCTTGCCAGCCTAGCAGCCTGGTTACCTTCAAGCACACAATAAAGCTACCATTTAGAGGGACACGTTTCTGCTCGGGTCAAAGTGACAATAATAGCTGTTGAGGCGACATTTAGCATCACGTCACCTGGGAAGCTGCCCTTTCACACATCTGTCGCTGTTTTCATCTTTCAGTACAAAACGGTTGCCGTTTTCTTGTCTTATATCGACATTGGCACGACGGCCAATGTCTTTGGATTGATTCTCTCATCGAGACACGAAATAAATAAATAAATATCACATTTAAAGCCGAACCGCGCGACCAAATCGAAGCCTTTGCCATTTGAAATTTGCATTGCGCGTCACCGCCGTGGGGATTTGAATTCCATCGATTGTTTTTGGCCCGCGAAAGCATCGTTACATATGCAAGCATGCAAACAGCGCTGCAATACCACGTCACTGTCCTATTGGGTTTTTTTTGCTACACAAACCTGGCGAGAGCTCGATGAGTCATATCCTGTTTAGTCGAGGCACAATTTAGAATCTTTAACTTGCCACCTGTGCACAGAACACAACTTTGAATGACTGTATGGATTGGTTTTGGATAACGCAGACGTAGACCGGATCATGTGGTTACATCTGGACAAAAACAGTTTCAACGGAGCTAAGCGCTGGCACACATGTTAAGTAATGAGGAAGTGCTGCAGCAAGAGCTCCTGCGGAACTGATGCAATGCAGCGGAAGCCCAGTCAATGACAAAAAAAAAAAAGGTTGTGCAGCAGTCAACAGGGAAAAAGAAAATGGTGTCGGTAGCTGCACGACCAAGTTTGAAGTGCCTCATGCAAAGTTATCAAATAGTTCATCTTTGCGCATTTTCTCAAGTGAGATGGGCCATCACGAAAATCGTCATCGGCACGCGAGTCCGAATCCCATCATCAACGCAAAAACACACATCAGACATAACGCCACTCGCAGACGTAACAAAACAACAGACGACTATCACAGGAAGGACCAGAACTAAGAGACGCTTTAACTTTACATCCGCTGAGAAATCGCTGCAGGTGGTGGCAGGAAGTTGTGACAGAATAGGATAGCAAGGTGCCCGGCTGAAAGGTCACAGACGAATTCTCCCAACACCCACAGCGAGACCACCAATCCGTCCCCGCTCGCGAGTGTTTTCCAACACAAGTATTTTTTTTTTTTTGTCCATATAAATGCTTGAGATTTAATCAACAGCGCCTCTGCTGGTTGCAGCCGAGTACGTCAATTGCAGTGATTCCTTCATAACGAGATCAACATTCAATTTCACATCATCGGCAAAATGCTTGAAAATCATTTGAATGGTTAATCAATCTGTCCCTTAAGTTCATTCATCTAACTTCACTTGGTTGAACCCAAAAATATATTTTTTAAATGTATTGCTGAAAACAATGTGACCGGCAAAACAATTAAATGCTCTTCCACTAGATGGTAGAAGCAGAATTATTCAAATCCCATCATTCCCCAGGGAAAAATGTGCTTTAAATTTGAAAGTTCGGAGTCCCCTTCAGTCATAAAAACCAACGTTGATATTTTTGGGACAGTTGGGAATAATTGAGAAGTTCCGTCGTTTATGAAGCAACAAGGCAGAAATATGGCCCGGGCATGTTGCATAACAGAGGGGAAGCATTCGAAAGGGTGTGTTTGAAATTAAAAATATCAGTGTGACGTGATGGTAACACTTAATCGCTGAAGCAAGGTAGAAACAGAAGCGGGGATTTGGAATAATCACCCATCAGCCACAATCACTTGGAGCACATTTGATCCAAGCAGGTGTGATGTTTACACACTCGCCTACGGGAGATTTAGAAAGAGCCAAAAACGATTCAAATTGTGCCGTTAGGTGTGATCCATTCATCCATTCAGACAGGGAGCGCGGGGCGGGGGTGTGAGTTGAGATCCAGGAAGTTGGATGGAATCTTCCAGTAAGGCCACATCGGTGTTCAGCTTTTAAAGATTTCGAGGGCTAATTCTAACAACCACTTGTAACATTAAATAACCCCTCATATTAAGATGAACAATCGACATCCAGTAAGCGGTATCGTACTGCCGTAGGTGAAAAAGATTTTACACCCGGAAATGCAACGCAAAAGTTTTTTTCAAGCCACGCCACAGAACCACGAGTGGAAGATTTTGCAAACATTGGAGCGGATAGAGAATGAAAAACAAAATTACAGTCCATAACGATAAATCAAATGTTGGTTTTAACGCCCCCGGGGGAAGGTGTTGCTCTTTGCTCAACTAAATAGTCTTCTTTATTCGGGGTTGTTCATTTGAGTTGGCACATACTTTTTTTTCCAGAGGCGATAAAACCCCGCTTATCAATCACACAGAGCAACTTAGTAAAGAGTTTGTCGAATGTTTCATTGAGTCTTACCGTTTTACCTCTGAAGGATCGAACAGGCTCTTGCGCTGGCTGGCGAAAAGGGCTCAAGTCGATGAACAAGACAAGTGACACAGAGAGGGAAAAAAAGAGGAACCCGCGAACAGGCAAAAACGACATCCGGCAAATACTATCAAAATAAAACCAGAATGATGTTACTCGGTCAAGAAAAAAAAAAGTTGCAATGCCCGACACCTCACTCGGTTATTTATTTATTTTTTTTATTCTTGGGGTGGGGGGGGGGGACAATGAATTAAATTCCATAACATTTGGAAGGAGGTGCAAAAGTCCCCACACTCGAATGAAATCCAGTTATTTGTGTAAACTCCTCGAAGAAAAAGTATAAAAGCCTAAAAGCCGACTGAAATGTACTTCATGTCAGATGTCCATTATGTACAACACGTGTTGATAATTTTGCACAACAGGAATTTTCACTCAAAGTAGTGGTTGTCAATGCAATACTATGTCCTCAATGTGACCCTTTTTTTCTCAAGAGAAAAAATATGGACAAACCAGTTGAAAGAGAACATGCTCATGTTTTGCCCTGGCGGTTATTGACAAATCAAACCTTCCGCTGAAGTGGCGGCCACTGTCCCATCAGTTCTGCCCTTATCCTGAACTGGAGTTGTGCAAAGTTATAAGAAATGCAAGTAAAATAATAAATGATTGTAGAAATTCGAACGATTTCTTCTAAAAACGTACAACTTTAGCCCTTGTTATATTAGTTAAACACATTTGTCCTACTGTGAAAGAGAATTATACGCAATCTGTTATTGACAACTTGTGCACACACAAACAGGACAGGTGACTCTTGCAAGATGGCGGACACCTTGACGTATGATCCGACCAGCAACGAGGACTCTTGCGTATAGCTTTAGGCGGAAGTGGTTACGTGACAGGATAATGAAGAACTTTTTCCCCGCCATCGTCTTTACAACTCTGACTTAAATAAGTGTTTTTACGAGACTAATAATGAGTAGTAATTTGTCATCGAACAAAAAATAAACTCCACAGATTTATTATACGGGGCCATGAACACCTCCGACAACTTCCCTCAACTTGAGCCGTCGTGAATTCATGAAGCCACATGGTCCTTCACTTGTGCCCAGTGTGCCTTTTGGCTTAAAAACCTCTTTCCAAGCAGCACACACTTCGAGTCAAATGTATTTATATAGCCCCAAATAACGAAAGAGTCTAGAGGGGCTTTTGTTGACACATATTGATCCCCTAATATACCCTTAAATAAAGATATGTAGGGTAATTTATTTCATGTACTACGGAGCCATGGCAGGAAAAAACACGTGATAGGTAGGTCCGGTTGCGATTGATTGCAAGGGACATCTAGTGTCAGGACTGTAGTATCGCATTCTCTCCCAGTCACAATTTCCTGCGACTATTTTTGCCATAGAAGTCTTTGAATCAGTATGTCTTCCTAATGATGGTATCTCAGTGAGCGGCAAATGCGTTTGAGAAAAGGCAAATGTTGGTTTTCCATCACTAATTGTTAAAGGTTGCAAAGACATTCGTTTTTTTCTTGTCAGCAAGAAATTTACCATTTGAATATGTGAACATCTGCAAGCTCTTGCAGTCTTGTAATGAATCCTGACAAAAAAAACATCTTTCACTGCTCAGTGATATATCACCTTCACTTGTATTGCAATAGCTATGTGCAAGCAACCTTTGTTTAAAAAAAGTGGGCTTCATGAGTAACTTTTGTCTGTTCCAAATTTACTAAAAAAGACAAAATAGGACGATATATTTGATCACATATGTGGGAAGCAATCCAAATAGGGAACAGTGGTTGGTTAATATACACTGCAGGTTTATTTATAAGTTTCATTTACTACAAGTTTTGAGGAATGGACTTGAAAATTCAAACTTTCAACCTACAGAGAAAAAAAATTTTTTTTTTGTCAGAAAAAGAAAAATACATGATAAAAAACACTTCAGAGTAGTTAAGAGGCTGGAACGACAACCAATCACATCGGGACAACCATGTGTAAAACAATTTCAACTATTGTAACAATCATCCTTCTGTGCAGGGCAGGACAGGAAAGGATGACCAAGGAGGACTGCAACACTTCTTAGCTGGTGTCCATCTGAGAATAAAGAATTACAGTAACCATTAGACAGCTATACTTAAAGAAAAAAAATCTTTACTATTCACTGAAGAAAAGCCAGACTCACTCTTGCATTGTAAGCGTCTAATTGGGCATCGAGTTCTTCCGCTGAAATCTGCTGCTTGCCGCTACCCCCTCGACCACCTCGTCCCCGTCCTCTGAAGCCGCCTGAGCCACGCCCTCCAATGCGGCCTCCTCGTTGCATGCTAAAACTACCCCCGCGGCTCCTGTTCATTCCACCGCCTCTGTTCATACTTGTAGAAAAAGCAACATTAACATAGCACCTTATTTAATGCGTTGGGACAGAGATTGTTGATAAAAAGCCCTACCCCTGCATTGGCCGCCTCTGTGTATCAATCTGTGATGTGACAAGCTGTATGTTCATGGGCCTCCCTGGAAGGACAAACACCCCCCCCCACACACAAACTATCAATACAGTACTTGTAAAATGGCGCGCGTCAATCTAGGAAACAAAAACAACACTGAATATTAAACAAATTTGAACTCACCATCCAGTGGGATGCCATTGTACTGTTTCATGGCCTTGAGTGCATCTGCCCTTCTTTCGAAGTGAACATCAGCAGTCCCTAGGCTTCTTCCTGAACGATCATAATGGACTGCAGCCTTTTTCAGTGTCCCAAACTCGGCAAAAAGTTCCTGCAGAGCAAAGCAAACTTGAGCAACGACTCCACAGGCCCTCATCTTTGACAAGACAATGTGAAATTTCACCTGAATATCTGCATCAGAAACACCAAAGTCGAGATTGGAGACAAGAAGCTTCCCTCCGGTTTCCACACCAGCGCCGCCAGCTGCACCATTGAATCCACTGTAGCCATTGTCGAACATGTCGTGTTGCCATTTATCTGGAAGCTGTTTGGGCTGCAACAGACGAAAGAGAACGCACCTGCTGACTTGAGGAATCCGCTTGCCTCTGTCAATCAGAGTCCACAGGCTGCGTGTTGGGGCAAGCAGACGCTCCACTTCCAACATGGCCAGGGTGCTCAGCTCCCCCAAAAGGGTGCCCATCATCCCCCCTTGTCCACCCAGTCACTAAATGCATGTCGATCCTCAAAGGAGGATGTAAAAAAATAAAAACTAGTCTATGTGGGTTGGACTTCCTTTAACGCATGCATTACTTATCGTAGTCTGATGTTTGGTGTTTTATGCACATTCATCCACACCATTTTTTTTTTTTTTTGTGGTCAACTGGCCCACCCAAACTAACAGCAAATGCAGCCTGCTGCTTCCTCCACCACAGGCTCTCCAGAAATGATCCTCATCTTCTTTGTCCCCTGCTCCAACCGCCTTGCCTCCCGCGATGAAAATTCATTGCTGGCCGATCAAAAGTTCATTAAAAGCCAGAGGACCTGGCTTTTATTGTAGGGGGGCAGAAGTCCATGATGAATGTGGATGGAACAGAAAACTAGCAGCTACGGCTTATAAAATGGTACATTTAGCCGAGCGTCCATTTTGAGAACACGCCATTTTGACTTGGCCTTTGTCTGGTACGCTAAGAGGCGCACACAAACACGGGCTGGTGATTAGTTGACTATGAGGGCACTATGCAAAGTGGGGGTGAAGTCCTCGGGTCCATCCACTACACAGCTTGAAAAGACTGGGCCTTCAAACGGAGCCGGTCAGCCACTCCCGGACAAAGGACATCCTGGTCGCTCACAAATCGCTGCTCCTTCGGAGATGGTGGGGAAAAAAATAAATACTGGATGTTCTCTCGGCGTTCTCTTCTTACCGCCATTAAGACACTGGATGAAAAGCAAATATATTGGCGGTGGACGAAAAAATGTAATCTGCGGTAGTAGATTCAAAATGGCGACGCCAAGACCTTCCACGATCCAGCTAATGCGCCAAGATGGCTAGCATATTTGCCGTTTCAAAAAGGGGCTTCTTCTTGGAGGGGGAATGCAACATAAGGTTGGTTCGGGAAAGGACAGACACATTAAGCATACAATTTCCTTTAATGCTCAACCGCTCGTGTTAAGAGCTCTCCGTCGAGAGAAATTTGGCGGCTAGCAATCACTTTTATTCGTTGATTAGCAAGCTGGCTGCCCAGGCATTCCGAAGTTTGCCCGAGGATTTTCCCTTTCCTGCCCATTCTCATACCCTGTTGTATGGCGTCGGTCTGCCTCGAGCGCGATTCGTGTTTTGACGGTTCCTCATGGGGCCGGATCCTCCACCTCGGCCTCCATATCCGCCGCTCATTCCAAGGCGCCCAGCGCCTCCTCCTCGGCCGCCGCCAAAACCTCCGCGGCCTCGGCCTCTTCCACCCCTGCCGCCACCTCTCTGCTGCCTGTTCTGTTTGATAATGTCGTCTAGAGACATATCCATTTTGTCGGTCATAATGCTGTGTCCAAAAAGCTTAAACTGCTGACAAAATAACGGGTGTAAAAAAAAAACAACTTAAAAGCACACGCTAAACTTGCTAGTCTTGATTGTCCGCCTTCACGAACACGAAGCCGACTGGTTCAGCGAAACACAAAGGGCAGAAAAAAACCGTTGGACTATCTTACGTCATCACGCAACTACGTAACTACGTACTTACGCCAAAGACGTACCTTTACCCAAAATGGCCCCTTCCCTTTAATTTGCCGTTTTACTCACATTAAAGGTGCCTTCACATATTTTCTTTTGTAATCTCTCGTTAAAGATGTCTTCAAATAAAATAATCTTTTGGAAATTGGCACTATGTAAAATGTCATTTTTACAACTACTAATACTTTTTTTGAGAAATTCGTTTTGACATAACAGAACTTCCTTTTCACACAGAAAAGTTTGTCTTCTCCCTGCGCAGCGACTCATTTTCCATGGAAATCCGTCCTCGCACATATCCATCCATTTTCCGATTCCCTTGATTCTCACAAGGGTCGCGGCGGTGCTGGAGCCTATCCCAGCTGCCATCGGGCAGTAGGCGGGGGACACCTGAACCGGTTGCCAGCCAATTGCAGGGCGAGCAGAGACGAACAATCATTCACGCTCACACATAGATGGATGGATGGATGGATGAATCATACTACCATAAAACATTTTTGGGAGATTGGTTTTAAATCTGTGCATAGTGCAAAAAAAAAAACATTTTGTATACTAATGAAAAGAACTGATGTTTTGAAATAAGTTTATGCAGTAAAAGCAAACAGACATTGTAAAAATTAAAAGCTATAAATGGCCACAAACAAGCTGAAAAGGAAATAAAATTGAACAAGGTCTGAGAGTTAACAGAAGAGACTTTGGTCAAAAGACTTGGCGAAATTAAAAACATTCACAATGAAATTCAACATGATAAATATCGGGACTTTATTATTGAACTTTGAGACCCTTGGCAGCTTCGGGGACATTAAAAGAATAAAACAGCATTAGTGCCATGGCGTAGCCGTAAATAATTTGCAAAGCATACAGATAGGTGTGGTTTCATTCCTTCTGTTCGTTATCCTGGGGGCGGATATTTGCACGGTATCTGGGCATTGCTATGGCATACTGTGCTGAGATGTTTACAACAGCGTCCTCAATTGATTTTTTTTGAATTTAAGTCACACCATCTTTCAGCATTCACAGGCTCTTTCTGAAAGGGAACATCAATTTCATCTTAGAAATACACAATTCATACAGTCGCATTCTGACCTGTAATATTTAGTACACAATCCGTGGTAGATGAAAACAAGAACATTTTGTTGCAAGGCTTTAGCAATTGGGAGTTTTTGGAGCTTTCTTAGTAAATCCCGTTTTAGGGAAAACACAATTTTGGATTAAGAAGGTTGGCAATGCATTTGGCTTTTCGAAATATGCTCATCTGGTGTGCATCCGGTGCGCCATGTCATTGATGCTACACCTTATCTAGCCGACTACCTTTTTACAAAACAAACGATAAAACATAAAAGCCCTTGTGTCATTTTTTTTCCCCATCAGGATCATGTACGTAGTAGTACTAGTAGTAGTAGTAAAGACTGCAGTCTTTTGTGTCCGGTGGAACAGTTTGTATGTCAGCATCAGATGCCAATAACATCTGTGGGAGGTTGATCAGTCCTTTTCATACATTAGAAGGGTTGCGTGGACTTCAACATGATTCACGACAGATTTTTAATAAGTAGAACTCTTCTTCATCACTTCTCGGGTGTAAAGAAAGACGAGGGCTTGCTGTGGTTCAAAGTTCACAGAAAATTGTTTGGCATTCTGCCTCAGACTGGCAAATAGGGCTGACTTCGGATGTCAGAGGAAAAGTTCTCAATGATGATAGGTGGAGGAAAAAAAAAGTGCTCGGACCATCTTGAAGACTAGGACTTCTTGGAGTCCTGTGTGTTACGTTTCTTGAGGTCAGTCAGGTCCACTGGCGTGAAAGCTGATGATCACCAAGAGGAAAAATGTCAGCACATCACTTTGTATTCATCCTTTACCGATGAACTGGGATGTGCATTTGATTTCAGTTATGCTTACAGTGCAGGTTAGGGTTTGGATTCTTCTCAACATATTCCTGTGGTCCACGGTCATTCCGCTCGGCGTTTTGTGCTGATCTGATTTCTCTGAGCACAAACTGCCAGGCTGTGGAAACAACAAACAAACAAACAAAACCAAATATACATCTTGGTAAATTTAGGATATTATTTCGTGAAGTCAGGACAGGACAGTATAAAATCACTGTAATTACACTCTTAATCTTAGCGATGATTATCCTATCATTACCTATATTTTTCCACCCAAAATTAAATACAATTATTAAGATAGTTCAGATTGGTCACGTGATATCCACAAATGTAATGTAAAGAAGCAGTAACCGACCAAGTATTTGTCAGATTGAGTCAATAAATTATTGCATACTTTTCGACTTGATTTACTATTCATGCCTTTGTAAATTACTTTTTTTTGTATTGAGGTGAGCTAGATGGCCAATTAATTCGTAGGTGCGTAAGTGAGTGTGAGTGTTTGTCTGTTTGTCCCCAGCGACCGGCAGGCAACCAGTCCGGGGTGTATGTACCCCGCCTTTCACCCAAAGTTAACTGGGATAGGCGCCAGCGCAACCTCGACTTGAGTGAGGATAAACTGTATAAAAAAAAAACAGATGCATAGATATTTCTACATTAAGTACTTCATAATTACAGTACTAAATAACTAAGTATTAAATAAGTTTAAAAAAGGTAACGTAATAAGTACACTGGTCGAAAATAAATAAAAGATAAACATAAGTAATATTTCATATGTATTTAACAACAATTACATTTGGTCTGAAATGATACTTACTATCATGGATAAAACGCACATTTTCCTCATGTGCTGGGGTGAAGAGCTCCCCACAGTTGGTAGGTGATCTGGGGCTTGTGGTCCGCTTGTAACTATTCACCATCCTGGGAGCAGATGAGCTTGAGAAATGTGAAACAACCACATCAGCGGACGAAAATGCCCGAAGCACATACCGTACATTCGAAGAATATGAACGGATGTATTAATCTGATGGATTCATGCATATCGTGACAATGCACAATTTACCTTGTCATTCTGTTTGCGGTGCTGCTCTTTCCTCACTGCTCTATGGTTGAGTAGCTCTGAAGAATTTGGATGTTTCAAAGTCCTCAACTGGCAATGAAAATCAGTGAGAAATTTAACAAAACTCCGCCATGTAAAATGTTCTAACACAATGGTAAACAAACACAAAGAAACCTACTATCTGTGACATGGGTATCCCTTAACAGGACCGATTATGTTTAAATTAATGTCACAGCTGTTGATTCTCAGTTATTGGTATTAACTCTGAGGCAAAGGCCAGCCATACGTCAGCAAAATTGAGAAAACAATTAAGGTCACTGACAAAGGATCTTTGTTTACGTTTGGACTTTCCCCGGTCCTACGATTCACTTTTACTAACAGGCACAACGCAACCAAAACTACCGAACGTAGTTTGCTATATGGGATGGCTGATAAATATTCGTAGGAATTAGTGGGGCATGTCGCCCTTTAGTAAATCCGGGCGACCGCTGCAGATTTGCTGACACAATAAATTCAGCTAACATTAGCCCGCATAGTTAGCTGTTAATTGTCTTGACGTAACGCTAGCTCAGAACGCCACATAGTTTATCAACATAAGCATGACGTAAAATTATCACGCAAGGTTAATAAATAGCACGTACGTATGAAACGAACTAAATCGCATGTACAAACCTTTAAAATGTATTTCTTTTTGCTGCACACGATGCTAGATTTAGCTAAAACGTTGCCAATGCCAACCAATCATTTCCGGTTAAAAAAAAACACGGAAGTGTTCTTCTTCGTCGTCGTCTTTTTTTCTTTTTATGATGCATATGCTACACATACTGCTACTTACTGTATCGGAACGGAACGATGCGATGTACTGTATAGGAAAAAGAATGGAAAGCGTAGTCATTTCCATCCATCGTGTATATTAGTGTGCCAACCCACGTCTTTGTTTATCGAAGCTGCTTGATATCAAAATATTAGTGCTGCCTATATGAGACAAATTCCTCGTGTGTTTTACATACTTGGCCAATAAAATTGATTCTGATTCTGATCATCATGACCACTATTGTGCCGATTGTTACATAATAATATGACAAGAACGGATGTTGTGACTTTCAGATTGTCTCATCAGTGACTTGCCTGATCTTCGGCAGATTTCCACCCCCCCCCCCTTTTTTTGAGAATGGGATACCCTTCCTGATGCAAGCTCCTCTGTACAATTTTGTTTGTTTGTTTTTCATGCTTGGGGAAAAACTGGTTGGCTGGCCATGGAGTCGAACGCATGCCATCTGCATAAACGCCAGTAATGCTAATACAAATAAAACAATATTGCACATATTTTTGTAAGTGTGTTGTTTCATTGAAATGCATTCTGGTGACATTTATGATGATTGATGAAGAATAATTGAATCATTTATTACATTTGCGATGATAGGCATTTTTGGTCAGGTAAACACACACACACACACACACACACACACACAAAGAAAAAAATAATTCTGACATTTATATAAAAAAAGTCTTTATTTATGAAAATGTACAAAAATAATTCTTGAGAAAATTATAAGACGTTCCTTACTGACATTGTTTTCTTCAGCACAGCCTCTATGACAAAAAAACAACACCTGCATATGATAGGGAAATAGTACAGTAATACTGGAGATGAAGAGCGTCAAGATTTTCCTGACTGAAGTAATAATTTATAAATGTTTTTTATGGCCCACTTTCTGCCCAGCAGTAAGACTTGACAGGACTCAACCTTTACTGAACGGTGTACAAGTATCTCTAATCCTGTGTGTCAACTTAATTTCAAGAGCATTAACACCGAAGCTAATTCACAAAAGTACCTATGCTAGCACATAACCCGTAATATTTCCATTCAGTGATACATTTTAGACAATGTGTTCCACTAATAAGTGTAATGGAAAAAAGGAGTTGCTGTCAGTCACGCACTGACTTGAGAACAAAAACACCAAAATTGAAATAAAAATGAATGAGTGACTTATTGGAGAACAGCTGCAACACTCAATTAATACATCAAAGAAAAAAAAAAAACCCAAACAAACATGACATCTTCCCATCGTCATCAGTAGCAAGTTCGGTGTAAAAACCTCTTCGAAAAAAATCAACTGTATTTTCCAAGCAGTTCACCTTTTTATCTCTTCAGCTTCACTTCTATGTCTTCGAAGTGCCTAATTAGATGCAGCCGGCCTTGAACAGTTTGGACAACTCTGTGCAGTCAGGGTCAATGAGGTCGACTGGCTTCTCTCCGCTCTCATTTTCTGCCTCTGTGTTGGCTCCCAGCGAAAGGAGATAGCTGTGTGGCGCATGAGGTTGACAATTTTAGACAGGATTCCATCATTCTAACTTTCTTATCTGTTTTGGGTATATTCATTCATCTTGATAATAATATATCACTTATGTGCAATTTTGCAATTTGGTCTTTAGATATTTGTATGTGGTTATTTTTTTTTTGGGGGGGGGTGATTAATAATCTTACAACCAAACTTATTTTACTAGTTATTTAAAGACGGTTCCAGTGGGTCTACCTTGCAATCTCGGGAAAGCCGTCACTGCAGGCCATGTGAAGAGGCGTCCAGCCGTCCTCGTCCCTCTGATTGACATCAGCGCCATACTTGAGCAGCAGCTTCACCGCCTCCAGGTTTCCTGCCAGCACGGCTTCGTGTAACGCTGCCATACCTGCGTGCACCGCACTACCTCAGGCCACTGCAGCACTGCATCATGCTCACCTCCAGCCAATGCCACTTTTCAGTGCCGCACGCGTGCGCCGAAGGACGCGGCGGTACACGACTCACCTGAGGGAAAAAGCGTCTCCACGCAAACCTTCCTGGTTCGGATGAAGCGACCAATTTGCTCCAATTCTCCGCATCTCACAACATCCTGGAAGATGATTTCATTGGGAAAGTGCACAGTTCTCTTGGAAGGGGTGATGGATCTCACGGGAGCGGGATTTTCCCGCGCTTGGGTGCGTCGCGACGAGCTGTACTGGGAAGGGAGGTACGTTGACGTAGACTTGTAGGAGGGCGTGTAGTGCGACGGGGTGTAATGTGTGCCACTATACTGGCTTGGGGTGTACCTGGATGTCGAGATGTACGATGGCGTATAGTGACTGGATGCATAATGTGTCGGCGCGTGGTACGTTGGCGTGTACTGAGAATGCCGTGAGTACGTTGACACCGGAATATGGTAGTTGTACTTCATTCCCGCAGTGGTAAGAAATCGGTCCCCCTCTATGATGTCAGCTCAACAGGGAGGACATCAGAGCTCAGACAAAAAAAAAAACCCAAAAAACAGTCCGGAAAAAAAATTATTTTGGTTCCTTTTGTCCTTGTTTGTCTTCTATCCTTTTAGCTTCCACGTGGGTCCATCCATGACTTGTTCAGTATGATCAGCGTTATTTTTCGAATCCCTTTTGAGCTTGCGCGGTCTCGTTTCCTCTTTGTTTTGTCGACGTTGGAATTCTGTCCTTGTTGCGCTGAAAGTTTTCAGGCAGAAGGAACCGTCAGCTGATGGCACAAGTCGCGCAAGGGCCGCTATATAGCTTCCGTTGGGCTATTTCGGGGCCCGATATCAAGTGACTTCAGCGTGCAAATGAGAAGCCCGCTTGCCCAACCCCGGCCCACGTGAAGTCACTTGACCAATGAAACTGCGCTCACGTCGAGCTCCTAAAAATGTTTCCAGCCACGATGTTCCCTTCGAATCTTGCAAAAGACATTACCGCCTTAAAAATATAATGCTGAAGGGACAGCCAGTGAACGAGCATTCATTTGATATTACTCCCGTCCTGAAAGGCTTTGCACTGGCTCCCAGTCAGCTGTCGAATAGATTTTTAAGATTCCGCTACTTGTTTACAGATCACGAAACGGTTTGGGTGCTAAATGCATGAGGGAAAGGCACATTGAATAGAAAGCGAAAGGGCTGCAAACTCAGGTCAATATGCGGAGCCCAATTTTCAAAGCAAATGTGATGACGCAACATCGAGCTATTATGATGCACGTGAAGGAATATGTTGCCAACAGAAGTGAAGTCAGCCACAGGAAATGCCTTTAAATTCAGGTTTACAAAAATAGGCTTTATTAACATTCCTTTACTTCAGCTTTTTCAAGGAAATGTAATGACACGGTCCTGAATTTCATGTTTCCTATTATAAAGTAATGCTAATAAAGCCGTTTTTCTAAAATATTAAAGGCCGTTTTGGACGCAATAAATATCTTGGCTTGACATCTTGAAATTCCAAGTCGAGTATGGAGCCGAGTGCCCTCTAAAAGGCAAACACAACACCGAACAGAAGCTCAGCGCTAATGGCTTCCACAATGGAGAGTTACAATTTTTCACAGCTTGAGAAGGAGCCCCTCTCAGGTTTCAGCAGCTCTTATATGGAATTGCAGGAGTCCAAGGGTGTCCCTGAGTTATGGCCATCGTCCTCCTGCCCCCAAAACAGCATCTTGACTGCTGGAAAATGTTTGTTTGCCATCGGGCCTCTTCCCGGGCGTATCGCGAACGGAGGTCTCGCACCTTCCGCGGGCTTTCTATACATAGGCTCAGGGTGCCCTCGCTCCCACCTGCTGTTTGGGGTGCAAACTACCAAGAAGTCACAGTTGACATACGCAACGCCACCGACTCCTCTTCCTGCCTCCGCCCCTCCCGGCTTGGTGAAAATGGGATGATTTCAACATGGGATGTTTATGCAGATTTTACGTGACATTCTCCCGTGGCTTGACACATTAAAACAAACGCATCAATGTCAAGGCCGAGGGTTTAACTAGCGCTGGCCGCTTCTCAGTATTCCATGCCACGGATGCCTTCTCCCCTTCATGAGATTACGATTCAGTTACCGGTGACATTATTTTTAGTCTTCTAGCAATGTGACACATTAGTATTTTGGATCAGCAAACGCTAATTAAATTATTGCCAGTTATTCCTACACAGTTTTGAGGCAGCGTCGTGGCGCTATAAATCCCCCTGCTACTAACTTAACTACATTTCTCTTTGAATGTAGCATATCTTGTTCGTGAGTGAAAAGGCAAGCCAAGAACGTTATATATCGAGTTCCGTTTTTTTTTTTTTTCATGTTGCTTTGTTTGTTCTATGCAAATATATGCCGTCGTGTAATATCTGGAAAACGTAGTCCGGTCTTGCGAGCTCGCCCAGTAACGTCTTCCAAAGAACATACACGATCCCAAGCGCAAAGCCATCTCTGATGAAAATTTGCTGTTGACCAGTGTAACGTTTGCATGCGATCAACAGTGACGCATTCCACCAGAGACTCTCGCCACCCAAGAACGGTTTGGCGACTCTATTTTCTAAAAATAAGAGCTGCGTGGCAAGCATTCCCTCGGATGTTACCAATACGAGTTGCGTATCAAATTCAAAACAGTCTTCCGGCGAAACAAAAGTCTCCTGTTTTATGGAGGTAACTTGCCGCTAAGTCAAAAGAGAATGCAGCTCATCTGTCGGATTGAAAAACCACTCCGCCGTCCCGGACACATAACGGATACCGATAGGTGTGCCATTTGATGTCACCGAGGTGCCGCATCCCGATTGAAAAATGTCCAATCTGGGCAGCATATCCCCCCTCATCGTTACAGCCTCGTATTCTGTGTTGTGGTTTTCACAAGCTCTGCCGTGCTGCCGCAACTCGTCACTGTTTTCCACGTTGTGGCCGTTTGTGGCGCTTCCCACATGACTCCATTGACGCTCTGCTCATAGTGTGCCGCGGGTGTACACATTCCGCACTTTTACTCTTGTATCACTCTCGTTCAGAATCAAACACAACCCCGACGACCGCTATGATGAACCCGTCCCCACGTTTCAGGTAAAAAGTGCAAACTGACATCGTTCCGTAACACATTGACTTTCATAACAGCTGTCCGTTAATCGTAACAACGGCAGCAGAGCAAGGTGCCCGAGTAGCCAATGCGACAAGGTAAACAATGCAGGTGTAAATGTGCGTTTTGAGAGAGAGAGAGAGAGTGAGTGAGAGAGAAAAATAAATCTGTTTATGCCAGGTTGGCAAACAGAGCGGAGGCTTTGAACCTTCTGCGCCTATCTGCTCAGAAACACGAAAATACTTGCCAATGTTCTGAAGTTAAAGCGCCCGATAGAACAAATGGCTATAATTATCCCGTCAGGATTAAAGCTCTTTGAAAACTTTTGGAGTCGTTGGAAGGTGGCCCGCGATTGAGGGAATCGGTCATATCTGTTGTCCCCGCAAATAGGTAAAGGCAGTCATGGGTACGGCAGCTGTTCAGGACGGGAGGGCTGAGAATTCGCGCGCCGACGAATGGGAGTGCGGATTCGAGGCTCCGGCTGACCGCTTGTTTGAGGGTAAGGTTACTCAGGCCGCAAACTGCACCTGCGAAAAAAGAAGCCAGGGGGCTAAAAGTTGTGCCGATGCCCGGTTGCACAATAGGGTGTGCATTTCCCAGTGCAAATGTCAATTACAACACAGCTCGCTCAACAGTCACCTTTCACATTCCGCACAGTGCGGACGAGGCTGCTGAATTCATTCCTGACAAGCATGACATTTATCTGAGCTCATCACAAAACGTAACCTTTGCTTTTGTTCACAAATGAAGGACAGCGGTCCGTCACACTTTGACGCAATAAAAGAGACGGCTTGACCATCAACCGGCTTTTATAACACGGATAACATCAAGCAGAATGTATTTACCGCACATTTTGCACAAAATGACTTCATCGGAATTATCGTAATGTATGTTAAAACGCAAAAGGAATTTGAGTGACATGAATTGTAAAATGTCAATGGATATTATTCACTGCTATTTGCGTGATCGGCCCGATTATGCGAATGTCCCAGGCAACCTTGACTGCTGCGCGAGTGCAAAAACAGCAAAGGGGTCTCAGGGAACTTTATGTCTCGGAACATTCGAGGTCGTCAATTTCACGCCGAAACACATCACGTGATCAACTCCACTGACGATGGTGCCAGACGCTGTCGATGGCTGAATGGACAAACAGACGGACTCTGACAGACAGACAGAAGAGGAGCCCGGCAGTGGGAATCGAGGAGACGATGTTGTTGAAAAAGGCTTCACCTTCAAGGCTCTTCACACAATTTCCAAAAGATGAAGCACATGGAGAGGAATGGACAAGAGACTCATTGGCGAAGAGTCAGCACGGCACTTCCTTCCTCGAGGATGCCGTTCATCTCGAGTGCGTTGCGCGCATATTATTTACCCGTGCACGTCGATTTCTCCGCGGTGCAGTTGTTTGCGTCATGATCAGATATCAATAAATATGGAACCGACGCACCCTGTCAGGCTCCAAATTGGACGACAAGCTCCAGTCGTGTTTTCAACGATGTTCGTGGTGCAAAAGCAAGACGTCCGAGGGTAGGTATAGCATTGAACTTTTCCCTTGCGTTAATAGCCAAGTCAGAGGGATGACCCCATTGCTGCGCTGCGTCCGAAGACAACAGATTCGGCCCCATAAGGCCGAGCCAAAACAAGATCTTGCCAGAGTGCATTTCGCAGGGGTCAATATGCTAATATTACCCCGGCGGCTAATGGCATTTCAAGAGCGGGCGCGCCAGAAAGAGGTGACGTCTGGGTAGAGTTTCACGGTGAAGACATGAAGTGCAAACGTGCAGTAATAAAGGACACATGACGGATTTCATCAATCATACTACTGTCTGTCCATCGTCAAGTCCCTTTCCTTTGAGACGTTGATCATGTGACAGAGCCGCTCCGGGGCTCAGGCTGAGCGCCTTCTTGTTAGAGAAGTCTTCGTAGTCTGAGAGGGCCCATGAACTCTCACACCAGCATCGAGAACGTTTTGCATCTTCTTTTGTTACAAACCGTGAGCACATCACACCTCCCCTCGTTTTTTTTTTTTTTTTTGCCTTCAGGTCTTGTGATTTCCAAAAATAAAAGAGTTGATAGCATAGATGTGACCCGAAGCTCAGTGGCGACTTCCCCTATGACAACCTCGTGTTTCAAGCCTGGCACTGACAAGGTACTGTTGAACAGTTGTCAAGTTTTGTCACCAAGTTTGACATGTCCAGAAAAAGTATTTTAACATGGGGCCACTTACGGAAAGCCCAAGTTTAAAAAGCCCAAGTTAACAACTGAGTGAAGCGGTACAGTTGCTATCAGAGAACTTTGGGCGAACACCATACTTTGTGGGTTCGGGTGAGTGGGCGTGAGTCCAGGTTTTCAGGTCTCTTGATTCAGTAGACTGACAGCAGTCAGCAGGAACGAGCGAATATATCGAGTGATCATTTGAAATGGCGACCATGGACATACAATTGTTAATCTAACATTATAATCTAATCAGCAGCCTAGGAAAAAAAAATCTAGGGCAATTTCTCTATAAATTCTAATGAGAAATTCATCATCATGATCTTGCAAGATGCATAGAATTCCACTGAGTGGTGCTCAAGTTTAACAGAAAAAAAAATAAAATTCCAGCAGGTTGCTCCAGCGGCACTCTGTGTCAGAATAGAAATGAGGCAGATCATATGGAGGAGATCTGACAGAAAACTGTGATGCCATTGCTGCATAAAAAAAAACAAAGCACAGATATACAGCAAAAAAAAAAAAGATAAAAGCGTATACAAC